TGGCCAAAATCTTCCTACCATGGTGAAGATGACTCTGAATCTTTTAGCCAGCTCTGGTTTTGCAAACAGTTCCTCAGGTGGACTTCTCAGGCTGGTTGTGGTGCTTGGCATTGCTCTGCTGAGGCAGGACTGTAACTTTGAATGGTTGATCACCTGAGTATAAAATTGGGCATTATTCGATAGGTAAACATCAGGTGTTGGTAAATAAATAAACATTTACAACTCAGAATATTCTGTGCTGTGTTTTCAGGTGACTCTGTGACAGTCAAATGTAAAATGTCATCACTTTCTGTAATCCTTTCCAAACCAAACCGCTTCCCATCTGAGGTCAGTGTTTAAGTGTGTGTTTGTGTCTGCCTGAGTCTTGTTGTGAGGCTGCATGTCCTAAAAACAGAACAAGAGCACGTGTGTCCTGCTGGTTTATTCCTCTAAAACCTACTGATGATGATGGAATCACAGAATATCCCGAGTTGGAAGGGATCCACAAGGATCACCCGAACCCAGCGTGATGTTCCAGGAGGAACCGGGAAGCTTCAGCTCGGTGTCAGCTGCGCGTGCAAAACCACTTCTGTTTTTAGGAATGCACAGCAGTGCAGAGGCAGGAAGGAATCCTGAAATAATCAGAACAGAGAGAAGCTTCTCTGGGAGAAGCTGTTGTTGCTTTGTTGTGGCTGTTTTTTCCCTTCTCCTTGGACAGGAGCAGCGCTGGGTGTGAGGAGCAGCCTGGCTCTGCCCCAAGTTGGATGGGGCCCTCGGTGCATGCAGTGTTGATGTCTTGCCCTGCTCTGGGCCAAGCCAGCTGTGGATTAGTCTGAAAACATGCTGTGATTGTTCCAAGTGTCCAGAGGACTTGTCTGCCTGAAAGTGGAGTGGCTTTTGCTGCTGGTGGAGAGCTGGGATGAAGCGGGGGGAGTTGTGTGACACTGACACGACTGTCAGAGCTGTTGTCCTTTTATCATTGCAACTGTTTGGGGTAAACAATGTCTCTGGATTGCTTCTTTGGCAAGGAGAGGGTTGCAGTCACTTCCATGTTTTCTATAAATAGATTGCTGATCTCTGCAGCAGGAGCAGAATTAAAGCTCGTGTCACCCTGGCTGGTGGCCTGACCTACCTTGATTAGCACCTTATAGTCCATTTTTAATCTTTAATTTCTTTCATCTTTAACCAGAACAAGGCAAGTGCAGCAGAGCACCTGGAAACAGACCAGTAATGCAGGATAACCAGTTCTAGAGCTTGGAAGAAAAGGTTTTTGTTTGTGAAAACAACCTCCAGCAGCTTCTGGGCCTGCTGGAAAATGTCAGCCAAGGTGCTGAAGTTCGTGACTTTCAGGCTGTGTGGAAAGAGGAGGGAAAGAAGAGTGGGAAATGTGGTTTGTACACTAAGTGAGGAGACTTTTGGGTGGGGTTCAGCTCTTAAAAGACTCAAGGAATCCATGCAGGAGTGTGATGCACAAATGCTGCCACAACAGGAACCATTTCTTGCAGTGCTGTGCCCTGGTGAAGGTGGCTTTCATAAGGCTCCAACCTGCCTTTGTGTGGGGTGAAAACATTGTGTAGTGTGTTAATCTCTGGCTTTTCTTCATCTCTGATGACCTTTCCTGGCTTTTAAACTCCAGCTTGGCAGTGGTTGTGTTCCTCACTGCTCAGGCAGGTGCTCAGCACTCTCATCCACCCTTCAGAGAGTCTCAGACCTGTCTGCAAGCTGCCCATCTTCTGCTTTGGGGATTCCACAAATGTTTGCATTTCTCGATGGTAACCCCAAGCCTTCCCTTGGAAGAAGTGTTTGTGTGGGACTGAGTGTGTTTTAATCTGATTGCTCAGCCTTTGGAAACAAGAAGCCAATTCCATATTGGTCTACCTGGTATTTCAGAGCTGCTAACCTGAGAATCTCCCATTTTTGTGGTATCTGGAATAATCCAGTGAGGTTTTTATCCTTTCTGTTCTGTGTCCAGCCCTGTGAACCTCCATTCATCCAGGGGTAATTGAAGATTTGATTAACCAGGACACAGTGGAAATTCAGTACTGGTGAAGGGGATCCAGCTCTGCCAGACATCCTCATTTCCTCAAAACTGTGGATGTGCACACACAGCTTCCAGCAGCTCCCTGGCATTGCCATGCTGGGAAAGGCAGCAGAAAAGCAGGAATTTGGGCTTTGATGTGAGCACAGGGGTTCTCCCCAACCTGGGATGGAGGAGCCTTGCTTGTTTTTAAACTCCAGATTAGTCTGTGCAGGGTGAAGGTGACACAGCTTCTTTGGGGGAGGAGCAGGGAATGTGAGGCTTGGAAGTGCTGGGAGCAGGACAGGGAATAAATGCAGAGGTATCAGTGCAGCTCATACCAAATGGAGACTGCTTTTCCAAGTCCTTTAAATTCCCGTGCATGTGGCCATGGAAACAGCAGCGTGTCCCTGTGTTTGGGAAATCAGCACTCCTTATAAACCAGCAGCTTTTCCAGCAGGTCACTGGAAAACCAATTTCCATCCTTGCCTTGGATGCAGGATTAAGTAGCCATTTTCCAAGGGTGTGAATTTCGGTGACTATTAACTCCTTAAAATAAAAATACTTTACTCAGTGAGCTATTGCACTGAGATACATTTCCTTAAAATAGATTTAATTGCACTGAAGTGGAATTTTCCAGGAAGCTCAAGCCCTTCAGAGCTTTCTTGGAAAGGGATTTCTGTTCTCTGTAATGAAAACCTTACCAGTTTTATTTTTCTCTCATCATCTTGAAGCTCTACTTGCTGTTAATTTATGTCCCTCTTGCTTTCTGGGTTAAAAAGAGATGGCCTTTCTTGGTTATGATATTTGGAGGTTTTTTTTTTTTAGGCACTATGAACCAAAAGATTGATTTTTCTCATAAAATGGCCATGCTGGTGTGAGCAGCTGGGTCACAAGAGCTGCAGTAATGCACTTATGGAGCTCAGCCATCACTGTGGCATTTTCACACTCTGTAGCTGTTTGCTGGCCAAAACAGGATAAGAATTAGTTCTAAAATAAGTGGTAAAGCACATTAGGATGAGATTATTTTTTTTCTCCTTGGTAATACTTTCTAGGATCTCTAATGACAAATAATGTGTAGCAATATAGAAATACTAAATTTTTGTGTTATTTAAATGAATTTATTATTTGAATTTTTCCCAGTAAGATTGGAATTACAACCATTTTAATAACAGTTTGGCTTTCATAAAATTTCACTGCAGGTTATCAGGGGCCCTTGCATGAAGCTTTGACATCAAATCCCTTCCCACCCTGTTATTTGGAGGTAACTGCTGGTGGTGGATCTCCCGTGGCACTCACTTGAGTGATTTATAGATCAGGGAGAAGGCTTTGGGGAAAAATCTGTGGGAAGAGGGAGTGTCACTCTTAGTGCTGCTAGAGATTCCATTTGGGAAGGATTCTCCATGTGTCTCCTCCCTTTCCCATGCAGTACAAATCCCTTCCCTGCCTATCCTGTGTCCTGGGGCCAGGTGGGTTCTGTTTCCGTGCACAAGAGTTGCCTGTTCCGTTCCTGCCCTTTTCCAAGGATTTTCCATTCAGCTGGGGTACGTTCCATGCTGTTCCCTGCATCCCCTGGATGTGTTTATCCTCCCGTGGAGCTGTGCTTTCATGGCTCAGCTGGCAGAGCCCCAGCACTAAATGCTTTGTTTGTGCTGGGCTGCTCATCCTGCGAGCTGAGCTCGGCTGGGCTCTGCTAATTGTGCTTCCTCAGCCCACCTTGGGCTTGAGAAGCCTCAGAGCTTCCTCTGGCACTGCAGGAGTCAGCAGGAATTCTGCCACAGCCCTTGGCAGTTTTTGGTGAAGGGCAGTGTGTTTGTTGTGTCCCGTGCCCCCCTCACCTTCGCTGCCCTTGCTTGAGCCAGAGTGTGCAGGACGTGGGTTCCCTGGAGAAGGGCTGCCAGTAAACCCTGGGTGTGCTCTCTCATCTTGTATTTATAGACAGGAGGAGGCTGAATTAATTCAGGGAAACTCCTGCTTTTCTCATTTCTGCATCCTGAATTCTCTCCTGCAGCAGGTTTCCAGCATTAGGTGGTGCTTCACAGCCACAGTTGTTAATTCAAGGATGCTCAGCTGAGGATAAATTTCATATTTAATGGCTTGATGAGGGTCTGCAGAGATACAGTTTTGTGTCAAATATCTGGCAGGTGTTTGTGCTGCTGAGGAAAGCTGCTGTTTGATCTGTGCTGTTGATGTCTTTGATGTCAAAGAGGGCTCTTTTCTGTTCTGAGATCTGTCGGGGTCACTGCAGCAGGGTGGCATTGTCACTGCTGATTTTTTGGGATCTCCCTCCTCTCGTTCCCTCCCTCTGCTCCTCTGAGAATTTCTGGCATTGAGACATTAGTACTTGCTTTTATTTTATTTTATTTTAAGTTTCTTAGAAGTTTGACATTGACTTCCTGAAAATGAAAGGACAGAATCTCATTTTCTGCTTCAAAGCTGCTCCAAGATCTCCGGCTCCCTTTGTTTTCGGGGGGTTCTGGAAGGAATCAAAGGCATCTGACTGTACAACAGCCCTGCCTCAATCTGATCTGCTTTAAGTGTAACCATATTTGTACATGCTGGGGCCTGTTTTATGTCTCTATTTCATTCTTTTTCAAGTCTGTGACCTTTCCTTTAGGATCCTAATAAGCAGTTTTCCCTGTCGGGTACCTCAGTGAGAGCAGATAATTGCTGCGCGCAGCGGTGATTTGATGGAAACAGGCACGCAGTCCCAGCTGGAATGGGGATGTCTCCCACATTTCACACTCTTCCTGGCTGAGGTGGGAGCAGCTGTGACTTTGCTGGGTGTGTTTGTGCCTTATGGTGTGTTTGTTGCAAGCATTGCTTGTGAAATGTCTTGGAATCTGCAACGAAATCGCATCCAGTTTTTAAAGCAAAAATCGGATTCTTGGTCTACTCTGGCAGCTTCAAGAAAACACAAATCAGGTCTCAGTAGCTGATGTCAAGACTTTGGCTCCAAACATTTTTGTGCCAGGGTTGACCCTTTTTTCCTGTGTTGTTGCAGAATATGGGGTGTGTGAAAACCTGAGGAAGCTGGAGATCACAGGAGTGTCCTGTCGAGACGTTTACGCTAAACGTAAGTGATAAAGCCAATCCAAATCTTGCTTAATACCAATTTTGAGAGCACAGAAATGTTGAATATTTATTAAACTTCCATGGCAGAAGTTGTTCAGACTGACTTGCAGGGGTTCCATTGGGAAGTTGGCGTGTTTGGAGTTTTATTTAATACCAAGAGTTGGGATTTCTGTGCCTCCCAGTCCTTTGGTGGGAAAAGAGCACGGAATTTCATTTTTTAATGAAGTGTATTGAGGGATTTTCATCCTGTTTTGCCATTTTCAGATCTCGCTGAGGAATTAACAGATATTTTTTCTAAGCCTTAAGCATAGTGAAAGGCAATGGCTGTAGGAGAGTGGGAAAGGGATGAGCATTCCCTGAAGGAAGAGAGCCTGGCTGGAGGTGTCAGTGTGTTTTGGGAATGTCTGTGGGTGTGGAACCCTCCAGAACCTTGAAGTAGCAATGACTTCAAGTATTGATCTTAAAGCTGGGAAGAAGAACAGATAGAAGGGGTTTAATCCCACCTTTAACAGACCTGCTGAGCATCCACAGGGAAATGATTTCATCCCCTACTATCTCTCCTTCCCTATGATACGCTGCACTAAGGATGGAACTGCCTCATTGTCCTGGCTGGGAGGGCTGAGTGCTGCTGAGCCAGCACACAGATGTCCCCAGAGAAGTCCCATTAGCCCTCGAGGCCTCCCTTAATTCCCATTTAATCCCATATCTTTGTGTGGCACTGCTCTGGTGACAGCCACACAGCACATACCAGGTCAGATCTCAGCTCTCCATTGCCATTTTTAGGTGGGACAACATCTCTTTGTGACCTGTAGTCCTTTTCACCACGTAACTTCCGTGGTTCAGAGATCCTAAAGTGATATTTAGTGCTTTTTATGCACGAGTTGTGGGTAAAAATGGCCTTACTGTCCCAGGACAGTGGTGACTCTCCAGCCCAGTGGCTGTGGGCAGGGAGGCTGAGGAGAGAGCAAGCCTGTGGGATGTTTTCCTAAACATTCCCACCGTTTCCAGAGTTTAATCAGTTTATTTATAACCTGCAATCAATCTGTCTCACACAAAAGTTTCCGTGAGTACTTTTCAAATCCATGGCATCCATTAGCAAAGGGTCACACTTGGTGTGTGAGATCCACCCCTGTGATGGTTTTCCTGCACTTCTGTGTAAGGTCAGTGATTGTATCCACCCAGAAATCCCGAGCAGTGGTGGTTTCTCCAAAGTGGGAATGTTTGCCAGCCATTCCTGGCTTTCAGCATCTCAGCTCCTCTGCTCAGATTCTGCGCTTTGCCCTGTGCCAGGAGCAGTTTCCTGGTGGTGTCACCCCATTTTCTCTACTGTCCCATTAACCTCTGTAGTTGCAGAGGAGTTAGTTTGGGATTACTGCAGGAGTTAATTTGGGATTACTGCATGGACTTTTCCATTCACTGAGTGTGCTTCTGTGGGAAATGGTGTGGGAAAATAGGAACTGATCTTAAGTGCCTGCAAGCAGAACTAATCCCAGACCTGGGCTGCTGTCCATGGAGTGACTTGGTCTTCTTGAGGCAGCAGTGCAGAGTTTGAGGAAGAAGGACTTTGATTCCACTTGGAATTCACTGGGTGCCATTTGTAAACAATGTCTGTGGGAATGTGGAGCAAACCCTGCTCCCGTGGGACTGAGGGTGACGGAAACAACTGGAAGCAGAGTCAGGAGAGAGCTGGACTTCCCTGCGTGGTTGCTCCAGATCCGTGGAGGTGTTTGCTGGTCCCAGTGGAGCAGAGTTTGCTGGCACTCACCCTGCTCTGTCTGTTCAGGTATAAACCCACGGGTGAAGTCGGGGCGTTTTATGAAAATCCTGCCCGACTACGAGCACATGGAGTACAGAGATGTTTACACCTGCCGTACGTACCCCGCTGCCGCTGCTGCATGGAGTGTGCCCTGGCTTGGAGCAAAGCACTGGGGGTGACCTGGGGACAGCAGGGAGGTGCCACCAGTGGTGGCTGGTGTGTGTTAGAGGAGCGCTGGGACCCTGCGGGGTGACAGCGCCAGCAGGGCGGGCACTGAGGCTTTGGGGGCTTTTTTTTGGAGGTGCTTTTTTTGAGGAGCTCTTTGCACAGAACAGGAGCACTCAGTCTGCTCGTGGGGAATTGCTCCTTTGATTGAGGAATGAATTCAGATTCACCCTGGTGAGGCCTCCCAAAAGCAACTCTGGACTGGCAGAGAGCTTTGTCATGATTGAAGTGAGCCACAGAGATCCACAGCCCTTTCCAGAGAAAAATGCTGAGTGCTCCCATAGTAATTCCCTCCCTGCACACTGAATCCTTTTAAGCACCATCTCTGTCTCTAGGAAACGTTCTGCTAATGTTTTAAAGGTTGTGATTTGCCTTCCTCACTTTGGATAACCTTTTTTTTCCCTCCTTGTGTTGTGTTGAGGGAGGAGTAGCTAAACCCTTGGAGTTTAGTGTTCAGCAGGAAATGAGGGGGAAGGACTGATTAGTTTACATCAATTAAGGAAGCCAGGACTATTTGGTGTTTATTTGGAGGGGGTGTTGAGCTGTCTCTGATGCTCCTTTGGGTCTGCAGAGTTTGGCAGACTCCAGTTACTAACTCACTGCTGCTTGGGAATGGAGTTTTTCACACCCATTAATGAGTGGATGCTGCAGAATTCTCTGTGCTGAGAGAAGCAGCAGAGCAGGGGCCGTGCAGGGGAGGTGGTGACTTTAATGGGAGTCAGGACACACCAGCAGCAGGGCTACAGCAGAAATCTGGACAAAGTTTTGGATTTGGCAACCTGGGGTGCCTGTCAACACTGTCTGTGTTCTGGGGCTGGGTGGGAAGGAGAAGCAAATCCAAACTGCAGGATGGATTCCTTTGGAGGTTGGGTGTTTATTCCAAACTTAAATGGCATTTAATGCTGTTCCCTCAGTTGTTTCTTGACCTGCAGCCCCAAACTTCTGATGTGTCCCTTTTCTCTTGGGCTGTGTTGTTTCACTTGGGGAAAAGCTTGGATGGTTGGACTTGATGATCTTGGAGGTCTTTTCCATCCTAAATGATTCTGTGGTTCTGAGCTCCTGTGATTTAATGGCCCATTTCCCTTTTCCCCCTCCCGTGTTGTCGGGATTTTCCATGGAAGTCTTCCCTAATTCCTGTTCATGCAGTGTCAGCCAGGTGAGCTCAGATCACTTTCCCCAGGGGTTTAAGCTCACCTGGATTACTCTGAGCTCTTCCCACGAGCAGGTCAGGGCACTGCTCACATTGTTCCAGCTCATTTCGCTTTTAGAGACCTTTCTGCATCCCAGGAATCCAGGAGAATTGCAGTGGATTGGGTCTTTCCTGGTCAGGACAGCCTTTTGCCAGTGGGAGCTTGGCATTCCCTGCTTTTCCAAGCCCATTCCTGGCTGGATTGAAACCCTCTTCCCATCTGAAAGGTGTGCAGAGCTACTTATGGACTGTGGGGAATATCCAGGCTGGGTGAAGGTTGTCCTGGAGCATCCAGTGGATGTGGTTTTGCTCTGTTTGGCAGGATGTGGACTCAGAAATTTGGATAGGCAAGAGGCTTCTCCAGGAGTGAGCACAGGCAGTGGAAAACCTTGGAGAAAGACCCAAGTGCTGTTTTCTTTCGAGAAGCAGGAAGGGAAGCAACTGCCAGATCCATCCTGTCTCCTAGCAGGAAGAGCCAGAGCTGGAATTCATCAGGTTTTCCCTGCAATTAGTATTAGCTGCTGTTTTGCTGGAGCTCAGAAGCAGCCCAGGCTTGAAAATTGAGCTGTGTTTTGAGACTTGTTTGGGCCTTTGGCCAAGCACCAGCATTTTCCCCAGTAAGTTCTGGAAGTGAATGAGATTTATTTTCATTTTTTTTTTTAGGCCTCCTGTGTCCAGAACTCAGCTCTGTTTCCTGAAATTGCTCCTAACAGGAGCTGGGCTGGGAGGCACATCCCCATCCCCCTTGGATAGCTTAGTTTTCTGTCCTGAAAAATAATAATCCATGGCAAAGGCTGGGCTTTATCAGCTCTGTGGCAGCCAGGGTAGAGGGCAGAGTGTGGTGGGTGGAGCAGCTCATCCCGTTAATTAATGTGTAATTACTGATCTGGGAATGGGGCTGGCCTGCTTGCCTTAGTGTTTTGTGCTGCACTGGGTGAAACCAGGCCACCAGTCTGAAAGCCCAGGGAAAAGGCTCCTCCAGGCCATTGGCAGCAGCTCTGGACATCCCTCCCTGTTATCCTGAACTTGTGTGGAAGTTCTTGCTTTGGTGGAATAAAACCACTCCTGTAGTTCTTGCTGTCTGAAGTAATGAATGAAACAAAGCTGCTGGAACAGCTGGCCTGAAACACAGCTCTTCTTTGAAATTAATGCAAACCCAACCCTATTATTCAAGCCAGTCCTGGAGGTTAAAGTGATTTATTGTGGCCTTCTGAGTTGGCCATGGGCATGTGAAATATCAGTGAAATATCTTCTTGCCATCTCCATGGGAGTGATGTACACGCTGCTGTTCCTGCCCAAAGTGCCAGACTGTGTAATGCCTTCCTGTGCAGGATTACTGATCCTGTGAGGAAACCAGATGGACAAAAGGAAATCAGATGGACAAGTGGAATGGCTGTTTAAGGACTGGAGGCAGGTCCCATCTCTAAGCTTTCCTCACAACAGGAGCTTTAAGATAATTCTGTAAAAACCCTTTTTATTCCTGCTTACTGAAAATATTCCTCTATTTAGGCAGGATTGGAGGGACAGCTGGCTCTGAAATGAGAAACAGGGAAGCCTCAACTGCTAGAGCAGATTTTTAGTGGGTTTTGGGAGTAGTTTTTGGGCTCTGCTGAGGTGTAGCTGCTGCTGTAGAATTTTTAAGGCCATGACTGATGTGGCCACACCACCAGATTCCCAAGCTGGAGTGATCCATGTGCTTTGCCCGTGCTCCCAGTGGCTGCTCCTAAGGATGCTTAACTCTGGAGCCAAGTTTGTCTACACAAGGCAGTGAAATGCTTTCAAAATACTCAAATTTCCCTATTCCTTCCCACATTTCTGCCCTTCCCTGTTTTCTGTTGCTTTGCAGTGTGAAGCATCGAGTGCATTTTTGGTAACTGGAGGCAGCAGACGCTTTTATTTGTTTTAGCTCTGGTTATATCGTGTGATTTGCATTAATGGGACTGTGTTGCAACAGTTTTTTGGGAATTCCTGCTGAGGTAGGTGGTTCTGCCCTTCCACAGGGCCAGGAATAAGGAATATAAATGTGTGTGAGCTTGGGGGAAGGCTCAGCTTGGACACAATCATTTTTCCTGAGTAAATGCAGTTGTGGGTGCTATTGGTCAGCGCTGTGTGCAGCCTAGTAGCGGGGTTTTCATTCCCAAAATCCCAATTTCTGGGCTGGATGTGCTCACTTGAGTGTCTCCCTGTTTCCCAGTGCTGCACCGCTACCGGCACATCCTAGGATTGTGGCAGCCGGACATCGGGCCCTACGGGGGACTGCTGAACGTGGTGGTGAGTGCCTCATCCTGGGGCTCCTGGGGGCCCACAAGTGGTTTTCCACACTTTCCACACCTGGCAGCCATTCCCAGAGCACTAAAAAGTCTGAACACTCAGGCCTCAAGTGAGTGGTTCGGACCCAGAGGGTGTTCCTTGGTTCTCTCTTGGTTTCTCTTAGGTGGGAATTTCTTCACAGGAAAGGTTGTTAAACACAGGAGTGGGTTGTTCAGGGGGTGCTGGAATCCCCATCCCTGCAGTGGATGTGGCACTCGTTGCTGTGGCTGGGGATTGCTCACAGGGTGCACTCGATGGTCTTGGAGCTCTTTTCCAGCCTGAATGGTCCTGGGATTCTTCTCATCATCACCACCTTTCTCCAGGCAGTTCTTTTATGTTTCAGCTCTACACCAAACAGCCCCAGGAGCAGGTAGAAAACATGGCTGATGTTTGAGAGAAAAGCTTGATTTAGAGTTAGACACTGATATTCCAGTGGCTGGCACAGGAATCTGTTTATTTACTTCATTTTCTTTACCTGCAGCTGAACCTTTTGCACTTGTGTGATTGGCAAACCTTAACAGCAGCCCTAAAGCTCTGATGTAGAGTGACACTGGTGCAAGATCTGTGGAGCCTGGCAGCTCTGGTGCTGCTGGCAGAGCAGTTAATGAACAACATCTGACTCTGAACTGCTGAGAGCTGAGCCAGGAGTTTGCCTGGAGCCCTTGTTCTCTGCACCAGGGTTCAACAACCGCCAGGTTGAAGCAGAACAAATCACGAGGCCTTTGGGTTTTGCAAGGTTCTGTTGCATGAACCAGTGTAAGAGGGCATCCAACTGCATCAGTACTTCCCCTGTGACCTTATAAAGACTTTGTGGTGCTGCCTGGGTCTCAAATCTCTGTGTTTGGAGAATATCCTGCCTCTGGAATTGCAGGCCCTGAGGGAAAGGATTCTGTTAGGTGTGCAGGAAGGGGGCTGGCACCTGTGCCTCTCAGTGGAGGAGAGTGTTGCTTCCTGTGTTCTCTGAGTAATAAAGCCAAATAATTCCTCATCCAAAAAGCAGGGATAGTCATGGGAAACTGAATTCATCTGCTGGAATATCTGCCAGCAGGAGCTCTCAAACCAATTAGAGTCTGACTTGCTGTGTGGTCCTTCCCTCTGGATCCTGCACTCCAGGCAAGCCATTTGCAGCAATAAAGGCCCGAGCTTTTTCCAGTGGTTCAGGAAGCCTTGTAAAGAAACCCTCTTCATCCAGGGAGTGCTGGGAGTGCATATGGTCTGGGTTAATGGCTGGAAAGCTGTTTGGGAATGCAGCAAACTGTTCTGCAGCTCCTGCCCTGTGCCACAAGAGGCCTCAGACTTTGCTGCGGCCTCCTAAGGAATTTTGCAAAGCTGATCCTGTGAGCTCTGTGTCCTGTCCCTCTGCAGGTGGATGGTTTGTTCATCATTGGCTGGATGTACCTGCCCCCTCATGACCCTCACGTGGATGATCCCATGAGATTCAAACCCCTCTTCAGGATCCACCTCATGGAGAGGAAATGTGCCACGGTGGAGTGCATGTATGGCCACAAGGGACCTCATAATGGCCACATCCAGGTGAGCTCCTCTGCCTCTCCCTGCACTGTGTGTGCAATGGAAATGGATTCATCAGGAAGCTGGGAGGATTTTATTTCAGAGATAAGGCTTTCACCACCCTGCTGTGTGTGTGTGGGCACCAGCTTTGCACTCATTATGTGTCTGACAAGTTGTGTGGGCTGTTCCCTGCTCTGAATTTGTTCCCTGGCAATGGCACAGCCAGGCTGTTGTGCTGTTTTCTCTTGGGCTTGGGAGCACCAGGATGTGCACAGGCTGGGGAAAGGATGTGTAAACTTGCCTTGGGCAGCTGATGAGTGTGCCCAGGCTGACACAGACCTGTTCTGCAGCTCTCTCCACGGTGGGACCTGGAGAAGGTGATGCAGCATCCATTGGATGCTTTGAAAAGCTTCCTAACAGGTTGTTTTTCTTTAAAGGAGGAAGCTGAAATAGGGAAGTAGCTTAAAATGATTATTTTCATTAGAGTGCATTGAGGTTTTATTGCTTTTGTTTCTTGGTTCTGTAGCTGTTGCACTCAGTAGCAGTGAATGATTTCTCTGTTGCAGCAAATCCAGTAATGTTTGTTTTGTAAATCATTTACTGTGAACAGTCTTAGCTACACCATCCAAAGCATCTCTAAACAGGTGTGTAACCTGTTCAATTCTCCTCCCTGGTAATTACAGATTGTGAAGAAGGACGAGTTCTCCACCAAGTGCAACCAGACGGATCACCACCGGATGTCAGGGGGCAGGCAGGAGGTGAGTGCTCTGTGCTGATCCTCTGTGTGTTCCCCTTCCTGAGATCAGCTCTTGGGGTGTGGGAGGTGCTCTTCTGATTTCTGTGAGATTGGGCAGGTGTGAACCCCCAGGCTGGGAGCTTTTGGCTGATTCCCTGGTTTAGGCAGCTTTCTGTGTCAAGGTGCTCTTTGAGCCCCAGCACCTTCCTCCTGTTTTGGTTTTAGAGAGGGTCAGCAGCCCATCTTGGACATCACCAACACTCCAGGCACTGATCTCAGTGGTGTTGCTGTCTGTATAATTAAGATCTTTCAAAGACAGTGAGCACCAGCTGCATTTGGATACCTGCTGGTCAGCGAGGCACCTTCCCACTGCTCGCCTTGCTCGAGGGATTAAAAGCTTCATTTGGTTGTTTCTCCTGTGTCTGAGAACAGGAGAGTCTGTCAGCTCTAACCCAGCAAGGCAGATTCCTGACTGAAATACCTGTGTTTAAATGCAGGTATAAATGTCAGGATGAATACCTGTGCCAGGTACTGCTGTTTGCTTCCAGCTGGTTCCATGTGACAAATCTGCTATTTCAGCTGCTTCTGAGGAACGCTGTGAAATGTCTCTCTGCTAATGGGGAACAGCTGGGTGAAAGGTTTAGTTAAGTGTTTTCTGCTGCTGGAGAAAATGAGAAATGCTTTAATACTTTCAAAGCACCACGTTAAGTGTGCGTGGCATTATGGAAATTGGAGGATCTGGCTTGGGAAGATAAAGGAGGCAGGTTTGGAATATCACTTGGCAGGCTGCTATCTCAGTGTAAGCTGTTATCACACCAACTCATGGCAGGGTATTAACTTGTCAGAGCTGCAGTTGGGGTACTTCAGGAGATGCTTTCAAAGCACCCTTTGGATTTAGATGCATCAGTATTAAGTCAGCAGGATTTAACCTCCTAAACCCTCCCTGCTTTTCAAAAGCTTTTTTCTTTTCTGTTGAACGTGTCAGGACAGGGCACAGGAGTCAGCTTGTGGGCACACAAATGAGTTACTGTGAGAGAAAGAGCAGATGAGCTACTTTGCAGTAACAGGCCATGCTCATGCCTTTATTCTGAGGAGGTTTATGCTCCTATGTGGGATTTATTTGAAGGGAAGCCTGTTTATTGTGTGATCACTGGCAGTTACCATAAGCACTATTTGTTAAGCACATTTCCAAGCCAACACGTGCTTGTTCCCAAATCCAGCCACGTTTCCCTGCCTTTGGCAGAGGATGTGCCCTGCCTGTGGCTCTGCCAGTGAAATGTGCTGTCACAGAGCCCCACAGTGAAGTCACCTTGGGGCACATCACTGAAATGACCTCATCCTCCCCCTTTTCTCCTCCTGCTGCAGGAATTCCGGACGTGGCTGAGGGAGGAGTGGGGTCGGACTCTGGAAGACATTTTCCACGAACACATGCAGGAGCTCATCCTGATGAAGTTCATCTACACCAGCCAATATGAGTAAGGGCTGCTGCATCTTCTCAAGCATTTTTCCCCGAGGTGGGGTTTTCCATGGGCTTTCACAGCCAGAGGAATGTTGTGTCTCTGCAGTGCTTCCCAGCTGTACAGGGAGATGAGGTGGAATGACAGCAATAGGAATAGGATTCCAAGTTCTACACAAGAACTGTGCACAGTGAGGTGCTTTTGAGTCATTTAACTCTGTTTAATTTGAAGACAGAGCAAATGCCTGTGATCCCAGGGAGTGTCTGGTTATTATCCATATTAGTGTGCTCTGTAGTGCAGGAATTAGAGAGTCCCTGAGAAACTGGGGGTTTAACCATCTCTCCAAGATGGTTCTTCTATTAGCAGCCACCTCACTGTAGCAGATGTTTAAATATGCTTCACTCTCAGGTTCTCTGGGAATCTCAAGGGCTGAGGAAGTTTCCTTGCTGCAGGAATCTCCTGGTGTGCTCATGAGGATGCTGGGGAGAGAAGCAGAGGGAAGGAGGAAATGCTTGCAGAGCTCTAAAGCAAATCCTCAGCTTGCTGCAAGCACAGATCCTGCCTGTCTTGACGACATCCCCAAGCTGCTGGAGGAGCAGAATGCAAACACATTGCTGCTGGGGAGGGTTTTTTTCCTGATTTCTCTGACGTTTTTCCCTTGCACAGTAACTGCCTGACGTACCGGCGCATCTACCTCCCCCCCAGCAGCCCCGGTGACCTCATCCAGCCAGGGCTCTTCAAAGGCACCTACGGGAGCCACGGGCTGGAGATTGTCATGCTGAGCTTTCATGGGAACAAAGCCAAGGGCACCAAGATCACTGTGAGTGCATTTTCCTGTCTCTCAGGTGCTTGTGAAGGTATTTATGGCTTTTGTTTCTCAGCCATGGATGCACAGGAGAGGTTTCTGTCTGGGAGCTGGCAGCCCAAACCCTGTGTGGATTGGTGTAACTACAACCTGCTCCTCAAGTTTCTCCTGGATTCCCCTTCCTTTCCTCTCCCTTGCAGCTGCTTTCTGTGAGCAGCTGGTAGCAGGTCTCTGGAGATCCCCTGTGTGTGTGTGAGGAGCAGGTACCAAATGTTGGCAGCTCTTCACTGAAGTCAGGCAGGGGAGCTCCATCCTCCCTGCAGGGAGGGATTCTGGGGAAATGCAGCTGCAGCTTTGACTTTCTTTCACCCTTGCAAGTATGGCTTTTGATTTAAAATGTTCTGGGAAGGGGAAAGCAGAGATGTCAAAGAACAGCAAACAAGGTCCAAGCAGGGGTTTTTTATTGCCAGCTTGGTGATTATAGAATAGGGTGAACTATTAAGAAGTCCAGGTGATGTCTCTGTAGCATCTGGTGTCTGCAGCTGTGCTGTTCCTTCCTGTCCCTAGGGAGATCCCAACATCCCAGCTGGACAGCAGACTGTGGAGATAGACCTGGCCCATCCTCTGCAGCTGCCTGACATCGAGAACCTGCGAGACTTCAGCGAGCTGTCCCGCATTGTGCTGGAGGTGCAGGAGCAGATCCGGCGGGAGGAGCAGGAGCGGGAGCAGCGGCAGGAGGAAGAGGAGCATTCCCAGCAGCCTGCCAGTCCCCTGGGAGGAGAAGGTGCTGAGGGGGAAGAGACTGCAGCTGGGGCAGAGGGGAAGACCCAGGACAAGGCCCCAGCTTCCCAGCCCTTTGTGCTGCCCATGGGAGTGATATCGAGGAATGAGGATTATCCCCGGACCTGCCGCATCTGGTAACCGGTGCTTTTATGGCTGATGCATTCTTGAAAGGGAAAGGGGAGTCTTTGAGGTGTGTCCTGTATTTGTGTGTCCTTTACCTGCCTGTGGGTCTCCCAGCCCCTTGGGCTCAGATCTCACAGAATCCCAGAAGGGTTTGGGTTGAAAGGGACCTAAAATCCCGTCTTGTTCCAGCCCTGCAATGGGCAGGGACACCTGCCACGAGACCAGGTTGCTCCAAGCCCTGTCCAACCTGGCCTTGAACATTTCCAGGGATGTGAAATCCACAATCTCTGGTTCCTGCCTCTGCTGCCCAATTTCCCACACTTTGGTTTGTTCCCTCTCTCACCACGCTGTCATCTGCCATCCCACTTCCTTGCTAGATTTACTTCAGAAGCTGGCACCTCTCCTGAATTCCACACACCCCTCCTTTTTTTTTTTCTTTTTTTGTGTGTTTTATGTCTCAGAGCTGCCCAGCTCATATATTTAGAGCTGGTGAAGCTGCTTCCCATTCCCATGTGTGTCATTCATGTTCCTTCTCTCCCACCTTTCCCTGGCCTCTGTTGCCCTGTGGCAGCCCTGGCAGGTGCTGAGCACCCCAAGCAGGAGGTGCAGGTATGCAGAGAGCTGTGCTGAGTGGGAGCTGGAGTTGGTGAAGCAGCACACTAAATGAGGTGTGGAAAAAGAGCCCAAAAGCTGAGGCTTAGGCAGGTGACCTTCAGCCAAACATCTGTGCTCATGGAAAAACCTACCCAGAGCTGGTTAATCCCAGAAGGCTCCTGCTGTCACAGCTCAGTTGTGTTTGGATAAAACCCTGCTCCACCTGCTGCTTGCTCAGAGCTTTGAATGACCTTTATTCCTCCTCAGGTCCTGGTAGATTTTTTTTTGCTTTTTAGATTTTTCTTTCCCTTCCTTAGGTTTTGCCTCTCTGGTTCATGCTCATAACAAGCCTTTGCTTTCCTGGGAGGATTGAGCCTGTGCTGATCCTTGAGTTGGACAGGTTAATCTCAGATGGGTTTGAACTACCAACAAACCCAGCTTTGGGGTGCAGGTGCTAATTAGGATAACCCAAAGCAGGAACCTGCAGACAGCAACGGGGGGAGTTCCTTGTCTTAAGAGAAAAACCGAGTGCAGAACTCACTGTTCTGTCACAGTGGCTTCATCAGAGTTTTGTGCTGATTTTTAAACTAAATACTGGCTGATCCTGGCTGTTGTCACACCTGTTCTGTCTTCATCCCCTGGCAGTTTTTATGGGACAGGGCTCATCGCTGGCCACGGTTTCACCAGCCCCGAGAGGACACCGGGGGTGTTCGTCCTGTTCGACGACGACCGCTTCGGCTTCATCTGGCTGGAGCTCAAATCCTTCAGCCTCTACAGCCGCATCAAGGTCTCCTTCCAGAACGCCCAAGCGCCTTCCCGGGAGGCCTTCGATGAGATGCTCAAGAACATTCAGTCCCTGGCTACTTGATGAGTGGTTGGTGATGGACAGGGGTGGCAAAGGCTGCTGCGCTCCCCAGCCGGGGCTCTCGGTACCTCTGGATAGAAGCATGCACTTTGAATAAAGCCTTTTTACCCCCAATGTCCACACATCCCACTTCAGACATCCGTGACTGCCCTTTCCTCTGTGCCACTCCACGCTGCCTCCCAGCAGTCCTTGTTTCCCAGTCTGTGCTTTGGAGAGCTGAAGGGACCCTGCAGGGGAGTGAACAGACCTCCCTTAGTGCAAAAAAAAAGAATGTATTGGGACAAAACCGACTTCTGGTCAGAGGAACAGGCAGTGACAAAGCACATCCTCCTCTCCAGAATCCTTTCTGTGGGTGCAGCGTTGCCAGGAGGGGCTGGTACGATCCCTGCATCCTTGGCTTGCTAATTGGAGTGTGTGGTTTCCTCTGCAGAATTGCCTCAGCCAGGGCAGGATCCCCACTGCAGATGAGTGTGTGCAGCACTGTCCTGTGGAACTTGATGGATGTGCTGTCCCTGAGACCAGAGATGATTTTTTTTCTCCTTGCAGGAGCTGGGTGTGGGACTAGAGATTGCAAAAGCTCTTATGTTCAGATTGGTTTGTACCTGAAAGGTTTTCTCAGATCTTGTCAAGTGGCTCTGGAGAGGCACAGGAAGGAGGCAAAAGAAACCCAGCTGTGAGATGAGCCCAGTAGGCTCCAGGTGGGCAGCACAAGGTGCCACATGTCCCCCTGGTCCTGTGTGACCCCAGGGGTGCCATTCCTGTTCAGGTTGCCCTTCAGAGTCCTTGTATTGTGTGGCTTGTTCTGGCTCCTGGAGCAGTGGCTGCTGCTGCCCCCCTCACAGAACCCTTCTTTCCCTTTGCAGTTGCACTTCTTTCATCCCAGAATGATTTTGTGGCAGATCTGAGCTCCACTGGGAGTTGTGTGCTGCAGGCAAGGGAGCAGATTCCCTTTGGACTGTACTGTGCAGGAAAATCCTGGCCAGTGCTCATCTCCAGGCTGTGAATTGTGCTGGAGACCATCAGCACTAACACAAGCCTTTGTTGCAGCTGCCCTCTGTAATGACTGTAATGACAAACTCCAGGTCCCTTCTCTTCTCCCCAGATCAGTGTCTAACAAAACCCTGCCATTCCATCTCTGCAGTTTCAGGTCTGTAAATGTGTCTGTACCTGTGCTGGGAGGTTTCAGGCCCCCTCTGGGGAGAAGTTTCAGTCCCTGCCTGGTTCCAGTGCCTGTGAACAGCTTTTATTCTCACTCTCACAAGGGCTTTTTGCCATTTCTGCCTCTCATGTGTTCCCTCAGCTGTGTGAGAACCCAGGCTCCAGCAGAGACAACGAGCAGCAGCTCGTGTCAGTCACAGGATTAATTCCTGTCTCTCTGGATGGAGCTTTCCAAACCTCTGGGAATTTCAAGGTGATTTAGGGCACTTCTTGCTTTGTTTCCTGCAGCTCTGTGAGGAGTGGCAGTCCTGCCTCAGTGTCGGGGGGGAGGAGCTGTTACAAGCCTGCTGAAAAAGCTGGGAAAATGTTGCAGGGTGGGTGTGAGCAGGCTGTAGAGGTTTTCCTGCCAGTTTGGATCTCCCAGGGCTGGCAGAGAGGGAGTGGCTGCTCTCTGTGCCCTGGTGAGTGGGCAGAGAGGAGACCTGGAGCTGAGCTTGGCTCTCTCAGCCTCGTGCTCAGCTCGTGCCTGGTTTGCAGACAGAGGTTTCCAGTTTGGTGCAGCTTTCTGGGACAGCTGAAAATGTTCAGTGCTGGGTTAATGGTTGGACTCGATCTCAGAGGTCTTTTCCAGCCTTAATGAGTCTATGATTAGGACTTTATTTGATATTTCAGTGGCTTGTTTATCTTGGGATTTGCTGTTAGGCTGCTGCAGTTCTGCCTTGTGTTCTCCCTAACAGCCCCAAGGGGTGGGACATGTCCCCTGGGGCAGCTGTTCCCATTGCCTGTCCCTAAAACCAGCTCTTCTTCAGCTGGACCTGCAGCTCTGAGTGCAGATTCCTCCCCACTTCAATATCCCTACCAAAAAAAAAAATAATCCTAAACTTTCACACAACTGACTTGATAATTTTGGCTTTTAGCTTTTAAATTATGATTAATTTTTTTTTTTAAATGGAGATTAAAATCCAGACTGCACTGACTGCCCTGCAGGTACCTGAGGCTTGAGTCACTCTCTCAGGTACTGACTTGTCTGTAGCCTCTGTCCCTTGTCACCTGGGCCAGGGGTCACCTGTTTGCTGTTGGCACAGCTTGTGCATCCGCTTTTTTCCAGGCTTCTTTTCCCTTCTGAATTTCCAGTGGCAGTGCCAAGGATCTCCTGAAGGCCAGACCTGCTTGGCTGGCTGGAGAGAACGATTTTAGTGGAGGCTGATGCCTTGAGGGAATTTTCCCAGCTCTGCCTTGCCCCTGTAGTGGCATCTTTTTATTTATAACTCACCTGGCTGGCCTCAAAATGTCAGGATAATTCCTGATTAAAGGCAGAACTGCTGGTACCCCCTGGCTTCATTCTGTCTGGAGCAAAGGAAATAGCAAGTTTTGTATTAATAATCCTCCTCTGATGCCTTTTCTCACCTTGTGCTGCTCCAGGCCTAGCAGGCTTTTGTGGCATTTCAGAGGAAAATTCCCTCTGCCTTGGCTGAGGGTGAGGAAGGCTGTGAAGATGGATTTGGGAATGCTGGGGATGCTCCTGTGCTGGATGTTCCTTTGTGTGTGGCTCTGTCAGTGCTTCCAGAGCAGAGCAGGATAACGTGGAGTTAACACTCCCAGCTCTGGAATCTTTGGGAAAGAGGAGAGACAGATTTAGGAGCAGGCAGTGTGGATCTGATCCCCCCTGGCTGAGGGGGATGCTCCTGCTTTCCCAGTACTGCATTCCCCACTCCTTTCCCAAATCCCAGTTTCCAGCCCCTTGGGATCCTTGTGGAAGCTGTTGACAGGGATAATGTGTGCTGGGGCCCTGCAGATGGTGATCAATCTCTGCTGCCGACGTCTCCTCGTCCTTTTGGCTCTGCAGGAAATCTCGGGGACAATTGGCTGGATTTCTTCATCCCAGATGGGTGGAAAGTGCTGGCGAGGATGGAAAACAACTTGTCAGGGGTAGGAATAGTCCTGGCAGGAGCCTTTTGGATTAAACAAAGCCTTTGCAGGGAGGTTGCAGAGCCCCAGTGGCCACTGCAAGACCTGGAGCTGAATTCTGGCTCAGGGACAAGAAGTGTCTGGTTCATGTGCTGGGGATGGGTTCTGCTCCTCCATCCTGTGTTGTCAAAACACATGGATTTGGCCAGCTGGAAAACAGGAACATCAAAGCTCCAGTTTGTTTGCCTTGGGCCTGATTTGAGAGCTGTGAATGTGCTGTGCTCAGGCGTGGTGGCTGCCCTCCACAGGGATGTGTCAGGCTGCATTTACTGAGGAGACGGAAAAAGGATGGAATTGTTTGTAAATTTGGGTGTCAGCTCTGCTGTGGAGTGAACAGCAGTGCTGCCCTGGAATGGGACAGCAGCAGTGGAAGGGCAGTTCCTTAGGAAATGTGTGCTGGGGAGAAAGGGAATTCTGTGCAAACGTGCCTGGAGGTGTCAGCTCCCAGGAAAAGCCCAAACCGCAGCTGGCTCAGAATTTACTTTTCAACAAGGATGACTTTTTTCTTGCTTTTTATTAATTCAAACCTAGTGGAACTCGATGGGAGTGTTGGGTGTTGTGTGGAAATGGGTTGTTTAGACTCAACTTGCTAGTTTTAGGGAATGATAATGTGTTAACTCTGTCTTGTAGCTGGCTGCTCACGTGGCCGATAATCCTCTGTGGTGTTCAGCTGCCAAAGGCTCGTGCTGCCCTTCCCAGTGGGACACTGAATTATTTGGGATGTGGGGTAGGAGAGGGAGGTACCAAACTGTGAGTGCCACTGACCTTTGGGTGCTTTGTGTGCTGAATTCAAATGTGTGGTTCTGGTTTTTGTTTGGATTGCAATCTTTGGAACTTTGGAGGCAAAGAGCACTTGGCTCGACCCTGTTCATTAGCTTAATTAAAGCAATCTGCACTTTTGTTTTATCATTGATTACTTCCCCTTCCCTGTTCCCATGTGTATTTTGCACTCACCACTTTAACATGACACTGATGGATTAATCTGGGCATTGCCTGGAGGTTCTGAGTGTGGATAAGTCTCTACAAAAGTATTAAAAATGAAGGAGAAATGTAAATCCCTGCTTTGTACAGAGGGCAGTGGGAGGAAACCATTGCACATCCACCACCACCAATATCCATGTGGAACATGAGAAGTTGTACTTTAACCACCTCACCTGCCCAAGGGCTGGGGGTTTGCCTGTCCTTTCCTTGGTGGCTTTGAGAGGAATGGGATGTATGAAATCAACACCTGGCCGACTTCACCCCAGGTTTTGGAAAGCTGAGCAAGCCCTGTTGTGTTACTTTTACACCTGATCATTGTTACCCAAGGAGCCTTTTCCAATTTCAAATAATAAAAAGCAAAATTTTATGAACTTAGTTCTGTTTGTTTTTTTTTTTTTCCCCCACCCAAATTGTCCCAAAGGAAAATGTTGGGCCATTTCCACCCTCCTGGTGTGCAGCTGCCTGTCCTCCACCGTGGCATAGGAAATCATTTTCCCTTCTCTGGGTATTTGGTGAGCAGTTCTGGTTTCCTGAAGAAGTGAGACTCACATCCCACACCTCGTGCTGTGAAATCCCAATTCTTCCCTTATCCCCATTTTCTGTTCCCTCCTCCTGATCTCCCCTGGGCTGCCCGTGCTCCCTCTCCCCCAGCAGATTTGGGATGGCAGAACTGACACCCTGAGCCCTGACAAAGCCTCCCTTGCCTTCCCAGGCCCAGCTTTCTCTGAAAGGAAGCCTCAGGTAATCCTGGATTATTTTTTTTTCCCCTTTCTTCCTTCCACTTGGTCTGAAAGGGATCATCTGGCACCAAACCAGCATGAGGAGGAGGAGGCAGCGTGATGGTGTCAGCCCCCTTCTCTGTGGATCAGACTCAGAGTTGTCTGTGTTTCCTGCACTTCAAATTCCCACCCACTCCAGCTCTGCTTTTCCAAGTGATGCTGGAAATGGGAGAATTTGTGGCTCAGCTGCCACCAAGGAGCTTTTCCTCCTCCTGCTGCAGGTCCTGTGCCAGCCCCGTGTTCCCTGTCCTGCCTTTCCTGGAGGGAATGTCGTGCTTCCAGTTCTGCAGCCCAGTTCTGCTGGTGAGTTCTTCTTTTGGAGAAAAACCCTGGCTGTGGAGCACTGAACTCCTCCAATCCAGGCATGAACTCCTAATCTGGAAATGGCTCTGCTTCAGTGCTGGAGTGCTCTGTTACAGCTCCCAGCACCATCCTCTGAATGTCTGGCATCCTCCATTTCCCCTTTTTTATATAATTTTTGTATTTTTTATAACACCAATGCCTTTCCCTCATCCCCTGCCGTGGTTTTGTGCTGCTGCAGGCCCCTCTGAGTGTTCAATCCTCAGCAAGGTGAGAGTAAAACACAAGTTCAGTAACTCCTGCCACGTGTTTGGCCTTGGAGGAGCACAGTGTGCTTTCTCAAGTGGCAGCACTGCTGAATCCCAGCCACAGCCACCTCCCAGAGCTGGACTGGGAGCCTCCCTCTCCTTCCAGGGAAGCTGGAGGTGTGGGATCCGTGCAGGGCTGAGCTCCTTCACTACAACCCCTGCCCAAGGAGTGAGGAGCTCCCTGAGACCTGGCAGAGATGTTCCTGGCCAGGTGGGTTCCTCCTGCCAGCTCAGTGATGGATAAACTGATTTTCCATCTGCTGTGGCTCTGTCACAGCTGTTCTGGGCTGCTCACAGTGGAACAGGGTTGTTCCCAGAGCTGGTGGCTCAGGAGCTGAGGCAGTGCAGGGGTGAATTATTCCCTGACAGAACCGGCACGTCCCACACTGGTTTGGGAACCTTGTCTGCACTGGGTCTTGGTCTCTGCTCTCAGGGATGTCTCAGGATGTCACCAAAAAGTCCCCAGCATTCCTGCACAGCATTCCTGCCTTTTCCTACCTGCCTTGTCCCCAAAACCCACAAGGTTTGTGCCTGCAGACAGGAAGGAAGGTGGTTCTCCATTCCTAAAGCCACAAACACCATCCTGAAATCACTTCCCAGTGAGAGCCCAAGCTCTGACAGCAGCTGGAGCCTTTCCCTGGGGAAAGGATGGGCTGTGAAGCTCCAGGCTCTTCCCTCTGCCTTTCTACCCACCCTGCTCTGTGATCCAGGAGCTCTTCCCGGCTTCCAAGGCTTTGGGGGGCAGTGAAACAGGAGGAATGTCGGGCTCTGCCCTCCCCTCTCTGCATCATCCCCGTGCAGCCCCTGCAGCAAACTGGTGTGTGTTCCACTCATCCCCGTTCCCAGCAGGAATTTCCTTCCTCCTCCTCCCAGTGGGGAAGATTAATTAACGGCTAATTAAAGCCTTCTGAGCTGTTCTGTAGTGGAGCTGTCACTCCTTTCCTTGCCCACTGCCGTGATCCGGCTGTCCTTAACAGAGCGTGATGGGCTTGGCTCCTGGTTTAATGTCACCTCGTCCCTTCAGAGCCCCCGTGGGATTAAATCCCGTGGGATTCAATTCCGTAGGATTAAATCCCGTGGGATTAAATCCCGTGGGATTCTGTCCCGTGGGATTAAATTCCGTGGGATTCTATCCCGTGGGATTCTCCCCGAGCAGCCGCTGCCGGGCCAGGCTGCGCCGCGCTGTGTCCGCCAGGGGGCGCCTGGAGACCGGACACGGACACTCGTGGGATCGGGATCCGCATGGACATGGACATGGACATGGATATGGGTATGGATATGGACATGGACATGGACATGAACATAGATATGGACATGGACATGGACATGGATATGGATATGGACATGGACACGGACACGGACACGGGTATGGATATGGACATGGATATGGACATGGACATGGATATGGATATGGACATGGACATGGACATGGACATGAACATAGATATGGACATGGACATGGACATGGATATGGACATGGATATGGACATGGACATGGACATGGATATGGATATGGACATGGATATGGATATGGATATGGATATGGACATGGACATGGACATGGATATGGACATGGACATGGACATGGACATGGATATGGATATGGACACTCGTGGGATTGGGATCCACATGGATATGGACACGTTTCAAACACGAATTCACACGGACACTCGTGAGATCAGGATCAAACGGCCACTGACATTTATGGGATCAGGATCCATAGGGACACGGACACTCATGGGATCAGGATCCATAGGGACAGGGACACTCATGGGATCAGGATCCATAGGGACACGGACACTCATGGGATCAGGATCCATGGGGACAGGGACACTCATGGGACCAGGATCCATAGGGACACGGACACCCATGGGATCAGGATCCATAGGGACAGGGACACTCATGGGACCAGGATCCATAGGGACAGGGACACTCATGGGACCAGGATCCATAGGGATAGGGACACTCATGGGATCAGGCTCCACATGGACACTCGTGGGATTGGCAGCCACATGGACGTGTGAAATGTCACACCCTGAGGCTCTTGGGCTGGGCCACCCGCTGAAATTGGGACCCCTGGATCCCTGAAATCGGTTCCTGTGGGACTTGGAGCATCCCCCAGATGGGACATGAGGGCACCGGTGGCGCTGGGCCCCCCCTTCCCTGCTCCCACACCAATCCACTGTGGCACCTCCCACCCCTCTCCAGCTGATCCCAAGCGAACCAATTCCCATCATCCCATCTCCACTACCCCAAATTCCCTCTCCTCCCTCTCTCCCTTCAAACCTTACCTCTCTTGGAAGAGTTTTCCTTCATGGCTGGCTTCTCCCTGGGACTTTCTGTTACCATCCCCCTCCTCACCTCCGGGAACCCAAATTATTCCTGCCCTGGGACATGCTGCCCCCCCAGAGCTGCAGTCTCGGCTCTTCCCATGGAGCCTCGTGTGGTCTCTGTCCCTCAATCCCGGTTTCCATCACCCCTGAGCCCTCTGAGCGAGTTCCCTGCTCCGGTGCCTTCATCCCAGCCCTGCTCCCAGCCTGTCGGGGTGGTTTTCCTGATCCCCCGAGCTCCTGCCTGGCTCGGCTGCGTGTTCCTGCTAATTAAAAACAAACCGGGTGAGTGATGAGCTGGATGGATCCGCTCCATTTAGGAGTTCTTGGATAAATAACATGGAAATTTAATTTAGGAGGCCTTGGATATTACTCGTGCACCTTTCCAAGCGTTTTTGTTGTGAAGGGGAAACTTGGCTTTGCTTGGGACCATTCCCAAATATTCCCGCATGGAATTCTTGTTTCATCCCTGACCACATCTCGACCGGTGCTGTTTTTTAGGGAGAAGGTTCCAAATTGTCCTCGTGCTGGGCTGTGCCTGGCACGGGGGCGGCCGGAGGGGAAACCTCCTCTCCAAAAACAAGCGGCAGCGATGGGAAAAGCCAGGGCTGGGAGCCAGGAAGCAGGAGCTGTATCCAGGCCCCCGCACACAATTCCCTTCTCCCTCTTTGTTTTCTCTAATTGCACAGCCAGGCCTCCGGGCACAGCCTGTTTCCTCCTCCTCACGCTGCAGAATGGGACGTGCTGACCCGGGAATGGGGAATGCGACCTCGGGACAGGGATCCAAGTGCTTTGGGCTTCCCAGGGGAGCGATGCTCCGTTCGTAATTTGTTTTGGATTTAATGTCACCAAGTTCCAAATTCGGGAGCGGTGGTGACTCTGCCCTGCGGGGCTGCGCTGCTCCAGGGGAGCAGAGAAGGATGAGCCCCCTCCCCACCGCGGCTATTCCAGCTGGAGCATCCCTTGGGATGGATGGATGGATGGATGGATGGGATGTTGGATGATGGATGGATGGATGGATGGATGGATGATGGATGGATGGATGATGGATGGATGGATGATGGATGGTGGATGGATGGATGATGGATGATGGATGGATGGATGGATGGATGGATGGATGGATGGATGGATGGATGGATGGATGGATGATGGATGGATGGATGGATGATGGATGGATGGATGGATGGATGGATGATGGATGGATGGATGATGGATGGATGGATGGATGATGGATGGATGGATGGATGGATGGATGGATGGATGGATGGATGGAGGCAGCAGCAGCCTGAGGTCCCCGCTGGGCTCGCAGAGCATTTAACACTTCCCTTCGAGCTTTTGGGGCGGGATATCAGCTCCCTCCTTTCCCCAGCGCTTCCCTCCCTGCGGCGGGGTTGTTTCTCATTGGATAGGGCTCAGGGAGGCGAGCTGGAATTACAGCATTACAGACAAAGCCTCAATATAATCCTCCCTGCATGAGGAGCCTTGCAGGGGGAGCGTTCTGCGGAGCGCGCTGCAAATGAGGCGCTCCGCGGTGCAGGATGTACGAGGAATTGCTCCATCACCGCTCCTAATGGCTTAACCAACAAAATCCATATTCATAAATCAAGCCAGGAGCGGGAGCCGACCTCTGTTCAGTGGTGCAGCCAGGAATAAAGGCAGATTATGAATTGCACAGAGCTGCTGCAGCTGCCACGGCTCGGCCTTGGCATTAAAGGGAGCCCAAGGAGAGAAGATACAATCAAAGCTGTCTGGCGGCAGCTGAAGGATTAGCTGAGTCAACCGGCAAAGAGCTGAGCTCATTTATTGGGCTATTTTCAGGACCCTGGATGGAATTTTACCCTCAATTACCGATCTCACACTTGGACAGAAGGGAATCATCAAAAATGGGCTTTTTCCATGTGCTGGCAGTTTGGGTTTGGGCATGGCAGGGGTGCGGTGCAGCTCAGCGAGGTGAGCTGCTGAGGGCTGGGAAAAGGAGCAGGGAGAGAGGGAGAACTGGATGGATCTGTCCTCTTTGGCCGAGGGAATTGTGGTGCAGGGAGTGTCACAAATGTTCTGGCAGAAGGACCCGGTGGTCTCTCACCACCACACAGAGCTGTCACCAGCACTGGGTCAGGCCAGTGGCTTTTTCGTGGAAAATTCATCATTTTCCAGCCTGGAAATGACCAGTGACCCCTAAAATGTCATTGGAAAATCCAGCACACAGTCTGGCTCTGCCCCTCTGCAGCTGGGCTTTGGGCTGGGAGGAACCTTAAAGCTCATCCCATTCCAGCCCCTGCCATGGGCAGGGAACCTTCCACTGTCCCAGATTTCTCCAAGCCCTGTCCAGGAGACACTTCCAGGGATGGGGCAGCCACAGCCAGGCCCTGCCCACCCTGCCAGGGAACAATTCCTGCCCAGTATCCCATCCAGCCCTGCCCTCTGGCAGTGGGAGCCGTTCCCTGTGTCCTGTCCCTCCATCCCTTGTCCCCAGCCCCTCTCCAGCTCTCCTGGAGCCCCTCCAGGCCCTGGAAAAAGCTCTAATTTCTCCTGCAGCTTTCTCTGCCAGCCAGGGCAGGGTGGGTTCTGCAGCTTGAACCAAACCTGCCTCTGTTTCCCCCAGATTCCGTGTGTTCCCCGGTGAGTTTGGCGGGGGGGAAGGGGCTCTGCAGGGCTGGCTGCTCTCCCAGCCCCCAGCGGGTGCAGGCAGCAGCTCCCTGTGACGGAGGGGCCAAAAATAGAACCTTTCCCTGGAGAGGAGAGGAATAATACTTTTCCTGACACCCTGCAATAGCCTTGAGGCTGCCAACGTGGTGATAAGCAGTTGTTTGCCCGTGCTCTGGAGCAAACCTGGTTTATCTCTTCCTCGTTCCAGCCCTGCAGGAAAAACCCAGCGATTTTGCTGCCGTGGGACCCTCCCCAGGTCTGTATTTGATTGTTTCTCTCTTCCAGCAGCAGCTGGGGATTTGACTGGAATTCCCAGCCCTGGCAGGGCTCAGGGCCCTGCTCTTGGATTAAAAGCCAGAAGCAGGAGGTGCAGGGGAGCTCTGCAGGTTTCAGGGGGAGGATCTGATTCCTGAATTTGAGGTGTTTTGGAGGCTGGGGAAGTCGGGGATGTGAGTGCCCACCCGGAGCTTTTCCGGGAGGAGGAAACGCTCCCAGCCTCCTGCACAAACAAGAGGCCCCGAGGAGGAAACACATCAGGCTGGGGAAAATCCTGACCTCCTCTTGCAAAGCCCAGGGCTCCAAGAGAGGATTAAACCCCAGAGAAAACTGGGGTTCCCCCCTCCCTCTGCTGTCCTGCCCCCAAACTCCTGGTTTGGGTGGGGGGATAGCACTGCCCCGTGCAGGGCATGGCAGTGCTGCACTTGGTGGGCAGGAGGAAACCTTGCTGAGACCCTCACAGGAGATTTCTGTTCCATGTGAAGCTGATTTGAGGTGGTTTTTAGCCAGCAGCTCCTGGGGGTGATGCCTCAGCTCGGTGGTCACAGCCTCTTGCAGCAGCCCAGGTTCAGCTGAGCTTTTCCCAGCTCCATAAAACTCCTCTCACCCCCTCCTTTGCTCCCACCTTCCCTGGGGCATGGTGGATACAAGCAGAGGCTTTTCCCAGCTCCAGCCCATCTCCAGGAAGCAGGATGACATTAAATCCAAAACAAATTACGTTGTGCGCTCGAGTGAGGCTGCTCGGGCGCGTTTTCCTTCCCTAACGATGGAGGCAGTGGGAATTGCAGCACCATTAATTCCTCCTTTTGCCTCCTGCGAGTTGTCAGGGCCTCTCCCCCGTGCCTGCTGAGTGCCTCATCCGCCGCCTCGGACGCTCTGCTGTGTCCCTGGGATTTTTTTTGTACAACCTCAGTGCTGAAAGATCTCCCCCAGCAGCCTGGGAATGCTGTGGGGAGAATCCTGGAGCTGCAGGATGCGCAGGGATTCCAGGGCTGCCCCAGTTCCTGCATCCCACAGCATCTCCTGGTGTGGAACCTTTTGGGGTTCCTGGTGTGGAACCTTTTGGGGTTCCTGGTGTGGAACATTTTGGGGTTCCTGGTGCAGGGTGAGGGGATGGGGCGGCTGCCAGGCCCCAAAGCATTCCCAGCCTGGAGGAAGATCGGCTCTCGGAATGGGAAACTGCTGCTCAGAGGACAATAAAGGTTATTAAATGTCAGGGAGAAGGAAAGCTGCATTTTCCCTGCTTTTTTCCCCGTTTTCTGCCCCAGGCTGCGCTGCTTGCAGGCGCTTTGTGCTGCAGTGGGACTGGGAGCAGCTGCCTCAGGGCACCCCAGCTGCTCTGGGTTTGGGGTGGGGGATTACTGGGGTTACTCCTCCAGCATCTGAGGGTCCCAGCCACAGCTCAGAGCCTCCAGGCCCAGCCTGACTCAAGGACAGATCAAATGGGTTCATTCCCTGGGCGGGCACAGCCTCACAGGGAGGGTGCAATAAATTTGGGATCCCTCTTTGGGACTCGGGATGATCCGGCCGGCACTAACGCGTCCCGAGCCCTTTGGGCAGGCACAGGGTGTGGGTGACAGCCCGAGGAGCGGTGACAGGAGGCAGGAGAGCCCTGCTGGGCTCTGCCACACCTCTGCAGTGTGCCGTGCCCTGCTGGCTCGGGCAGCAGCCCCGACAGGTCCGTCTGGTCCTGCCGGAGCCGCCGCCGGCACCCGGGGACACGGAAAAGCAGCGGGCGCATCCCTGCCTCACCTTGTTTGGCTTTCACTCTGTCACCCGGAGCCTGGGTTAATCATTGGGCAGCTGGAAATGCTGCAGGAAGCGGCGCTGCCACGCCAGGCTGTGCCTGCCCGGGGCTGGACATCCCCTCTGCAAGGAGCAGCCAGGGCCAGAAGGTAATTTTGGGGTTCCCTGGGAGCAGGCTGGGGCTGGAAGGTGGGTGGGTGCTGATCCCACCGAGCTGCTGCGAGGGGATATCGGGAGCTGGCCTGTGGAACGGCAAAAGGTGGAGAATTTGCTGTAGTTTGGAAATTTTTGGTGTTTTTTCGGGTGGTGGACAGGGGGGCAGAGACCAAAGTGTGGCTCCCATGAGATCCCGAACTGTGGGATCTCTGCTGATCCCCCCAGGGGCTCATCTGTGGCACTGCTGTGACACATCCATGGCCTGTACTGTCCCCTCCCTGCCTGGCTCTTGGTCTGACAGGTGGCTGCAGTGACAATTGCTGCCCCCAAAGATGATATTTGTGAATTCCTTGTTGGGCTGTTACCCGGCCTGTGGTGCAGCTCCGCACAAACAGAGATCCAGGAGTCACTGCTGGGGCTGGAGGGGAAATAACAACACACAGAGCACTTCTAGAGAGCTCAAAGCCTGGCCAGGAAAACAGCTTGGGAAGGTAAAATCAGAGAATCACAGAATGATTTGGGTTAGAAGGGACCTCAAAAAGCCTCTTGTTCCATCCCCAGCTCCAAACGAGCTTGGTTCGGGTAGATTTGGTGTGTGTTAAAAAATCGTCACTTAAGGGTGAGAGGTACTGACATGCCATGCCATGCCATGCCATGCCATCCCATCCCATCCCATCCACACCCATGCCATCCACACCCATGCCATCCACACCCATGCCATGCCATGCCATGCCATGCCATGCCATCCCATCCCATCCCATGGATCCCATCCCATCCCATCCCATCCCATCCCATGGATCCCATCCCATCCCATCACAGGGAGCTGCAGCACCGTGAGCTGAAGTTGCCTTCCATGCCTGGAGTTAATTCAGTCACTCTTATTATTCTTGGTTATTTGCTGATGAATTTGGAAGATCTTTGTGCAAACCAATTAGGGATGGGATTCCCTGGGGATGGAGCAATTCCCTGTCTGGAAGTGCAGTGGTTCTTTCATCCTCCCTGTCCCTGTCCCTGTCCCTGTCCCTGTCCCTGTCCCTGTCCCTGTCCCTGGCTGCTGACCAGGATGGTGGATGCCGAATCCTCAGGGATTGCAGGTGACCCCTCAGCAGGATGCTCAGGAGAGGCTGGGTGGGGTGGCCTGCTCAGGGATCCAGTTTTCATCAGGATTTGGGAATAAAAGCAGGAAAAGGGCATTGATCCTCTGCCCTGATCGTGCCTGAACCTCCCCATTCCTGGGCTCTATTCCCTTCTCTGGTGACCTTCCCTTCTCCTCCGTGGCCACCGGTGTGTCCTGAGCACCCTCTGCCCTCATCCTGTGCTTGTGTCCGAACGCTCTGGGGGCTGCAGGGCTCCCACCAGCTCCTCCCCCACGTGTGAGGACCACGCTCTTCCCAGGAAAAATGGAGGTGATTGGAGGTGGTGCTCATCCCTGGCTTGTGACAACTGAGCTGGAGCAGGAGAGGGGACTTGGGACACCAGAGCTGTGCTGGAGCTCGTTTGGGGGAGGCTGCTGGGGAGCTGTGGGGTGCTCAGAGGCTGTGTTACCCTGTGAATCCCATTGTTTTGCCATCCTGAGGCTCCTGCTGCTGCTCCAGGAGCCACCATGTGCTGGCCAGGTCCCTGCCACACCCCAGCCCCGTGACACGGTGACAACAGAACACGGAACTGTCACTTTTGCCCTCCCAGCAGCCCCACGGCTGCTCCTTGCCCTTCCCATTCCTGGAATGGGTGGGAGGGAGGAAAACCAACCTCCTTCCTGCCAGCTCCAGCTCTGCTGCTGTGCTTTTCCATACTCCAAGTGCTGGATTGAATCCCTCTGGAGCTCTTCCCCAGCTCCATGGGACTTGCTTGGTGGGTCCAGATCCCTGTGGATGCTCCTGTGCTGAGTTTGATGGATCCAAACGAGATCCAGGCTTATCTGGAAGGGAAGCAGAGGGAAAGGAGCCCCATTCCTGCTGCTCCAGCCCGTGCCAGCCTGTGTCTCCCTTTATAAACAGCTTTGGATTTCCTTTCAGGAAAGATAAAACAGGTTTCCTTTTCCATGGCACGACTTTCCTGCAGATTCCAGGGAGACTGAGGGTAAGGATAACACTTTCATCCTGCTGCCTGCCTGAGCTGCTGTGCCACACGTGTGGTGGCAGATGTTTGCAAACCGAGAGGACCCCCAGGACACACGGGCAGGGCTTTTCTCCTCCCTGCAGGAATCCCAGAGGCGTGTGGCTGTGGCAGCCTGTGGCAAACCCACAGCTTTGTGTCCTCCTGAGGTGGGATCCATCTGTGAGGTGGCCTCAGGGAGGGCAGAGCGTTCCCAACCCCGGGCCGTGGTGGGGAATGTGGCTCTGGCATCTTCTGTGGGATTAACACACCAAACTAATGTGGTTTGGGGTTTGTTTCCTAACCTGGATCCCAGCTGGGATTTATGGGGGAAGCTGGAGGTCAGAGCAGGGTTTATTTTCTCTGTGTTTGGATAAGGTGGAGAAAACTGTGTTTTAAAGCACGTGAATCCCAGCAAAGGAGAAATCCTGGCTGTGTCACTGAGGGAGGTTTTCCATGGCCAGAGTGGCGGTGTGGGGATGTGCCAGTGGGATGTGGAGCTGGGAGTGCAGGTGTAGCCCTGTCCCCAAACACCTCCACACACGAGGAGAGGGAAGCTCTGGTGACTTCTGCATCAGAGCTTCAACCAGCACCGAGAAAAGACGAGGATTTTCCCAAGTGTTGAGCAAACAGGGGCGTTCAGCATGGGAGGGTCCAACTTAATGCCATAAACAAGATTGGATTAGGAGGGATTTGCAGAGGGTCAGTCTGGAAGAGAGGCTTATTTAGGTTTTTAGCAGCTGTGTCACAACCATCCGTGGTGTGGCAACACTCGGTTGCGTTGTGCTGGTGTTGGGTTTGAGGGAGCAGCCAGGAGCTCCTGGGCTGGGAGAGGGCTCTGGAGCACAGATCAGCACCAGGAACCCGGCATCTTCCTTGTCCTGGGAGGCTGAACTGAATCTGTGAGCGTGTGGGATGGTGCAGGGTGAGTATCCTTTGGGTGGTTTCCTGCTGGGGGTGGATGAATTCATCCTTGTGCGAGTG